GTGCAGCACCACAACTTCGAACACCGGTATTTTTGTGTGATAGGTCGTCTCAACTGTCTGACTGAGGGAACCCGACGGAAAACATGCTGCTGCTAACTAAACACATATACCTTTCCTATCCTTTCCTCAAACAATCATACTGAGCAGAACTCTTTGAGGAGGAAAACATAGGAAAACAGTCTTCCAGAGGTCTCTGTTCCACTTCCATGAGGACGTCTGACGGTAGTCGCGTAGTCGGCCTCAATGAACAGTCCTAGTGACTCTAGTGCCTATCCCACCCATCTCAAACACTTGCTTAAAACTGCTTTAAATAGCTGCAACCTGCTATGAGGGAAGCACAAAGAGAGAAACTGTCACGGAACAAAACCAAGAGCCCGCCCACAGCCCAGGCGCCTCGCCCACCATGTCCCCAGCACCGGGCCCGGCGGCGAGCCCGGCCCCACCGGACATGGCTTTCGGCTTTGTGGCAGAGGAGTTTCTTGGTCTTCAGGGTGCTGGCGTGGAGCGTGGGTCGGTCATGTGGAAGGGAGGCGATAAGATCTACGAAGCGGTTGAATTGTGCATGGTTCTATGTTTAACTTCTTGTGTGTAGTCTTGGGGAGTCTCGCATGGGATCATGAAAAGTTACGGACTCAGCAGTGGTGCCAGAAAGCATTCACAACAAGGATCAACATGGATCAACAAGGTATCCTCGGAGTTTGTGCTCCGCTTGGACAATGGCCCATTCATTGCCACAAGGTTTTTGAGCTTGCCGGCCCAAGCCGATGCGCATACCGAGGATGAAGGGAGCTGTGAGCTAAGTGAGCAGACGCCCTTGGCTCGATCGGTAATGCTTTGCGCGATCGGTTGCAGCACAAGAATCGTGCAAATTTAGCTGCGGCTCAAGTCCTGAATGCTGCGAGCACTGAGAGCCTGAGAGCAGGATCTAAATCACCATAATCAGAGTCGTGAAAGGTAGCTTTTGAAGGGCAAACTTGATCTCGCGAAGCGCAGGTGGGGTTCGAAACATTGATCACTCCCCATGGGTCACCTCGCTCATGTTGTAAGGGTTTGTCTCAAACAACTATATAAAGAACATATAGTAATATAATACGAAAGCCAGCCGATAGATACTGTAGGCTAGGCTTGAGCTCTTAGACCGAACGAAGTGAGTTAAGGGGGTGTGGGGGGGGGTAGGCCGCGAAAAGGCACCAGTTGAGAGGGTAAACCCGGAGATTGCCTGGGGAGAGCGTTCCAAAGCGAGGGTCAGAAAAGCAATGAACATGGGTTTGGTGATGCGAGTGATGCAATTTGCTGAGTAGTGCATCATTAGCATCACGAATGTCTCCGGTGAGCACTCTTCTTGCCTCGGACGGGGTGCTGGGAACGGTGAGACACGTCAGCGTGCACGCAAAGGTATGAGGCTAGTTGGGGTGAACAAACCACTTGTGCCGCTGGTAAACTTGCACCACCACTAAACTGGCCAGCAGGGAACTCGTACCACATCACTACGGGTGATGGACCATCACCTGTAAGAACCAGTAAGAACCCACCACTTCAACAACATGTGCCACTTCACCAGCAGTTGGACCACTTCTGCAGCCCCCCACCCGTTGTATATATCACAAATTCTGTTACTCTGTTACTGTATGTGTATATATATATATAAATATGCGTGTGTGTTATATGTAATTGCGATTTCGTTTTATAGTGCAGGGGCCCAAGTGAAACTACAAACATATTCTCATATCTTGGCCTTATCCATGGATATTGGCCGCTTGCCATTGATCAAACCCTCCGGATCGGCAGATCAGGACTGAGCCCGGATTGGGTGACCACCGAGCGGAGAGACGAGAGATAGGTATCCTTTCACCTGCTCGAGTCATCCTAGGAAACATGATGAAACGTGAGTTACAAAGCTTTGGATCATATACTGTAAATTATACTGTAATTGCTTTGAGCCAAAGCATCGTCAACACATGCAGGAACCCTTTAGTTGGAGGCTTTCAGCTGTTCTCCACTTTCATGTGTCCGAGATATTCCAAGATTCAAGGAAGGTTTGTCAGACACCCCATGCAAACTGCACAAACATGCACAAACCAATGTTTCAAGTCTCTCATAAGAGCATCACTTACCCTTGGCCCACCGGGCTTCTTCGCTGCCTTGGCCGCCCTCGGCGTCTTGGAAAAGACCGCGATTTTCGGACCCAGAGCGGGAGGCCCCAAGGGGGGCACAGATGATCCTAGCCAAGTCCTATAGCCCGAAGTATCGCATCGATGCAGAAGAGATGAAGGTTCGACCCGCGTGAAGACCCGAAGATGTGGAGCGAAGCAGAGCTCCTCGTGACAGAACAACAGGTTTGCAACTGATACGGCCCCCCCTTAAGAGCTGACGGACAGTAACAAAATCATGCACCTTTAAGGTGCAGTAGATGGTTGCTGGGACCGGAATTGGTCTTCGCCCCCCAAAATAGAGCTGGATACCATGACATGGGAGACATGCTCCTAAGTTTTTTTTTGACATATTCTGACCAGCTTGGCCCTTGAATGGAGCCTTAAGACTTTAAGATCTACTCAATCTACTCCCAGACCCCGCCCTGCAAGAAGCTGCTCCACGTGCTCCACAGCCTCTCGCAGCACCACCGGGCGAGACGACCGGCCTGTTTCCACAAGCTAGCGGCTAGCGGATCGACATGGAAACAGCGGGGGCGCGAAGTGATCATGCATGGCGAACATCTCCACTTGAGCGGGATTGATGTGATTGATCCGTGTGACATCTTTAGACTCAATCAAGTAGTCGTTGGTAAGAGGCTCTATTGAGTCTCTTATCATATCCCACACGTGACGAGACCTTGATACCCGTAGGGTTTGCAGCTTCATCCTTCACGTGTCCAAGTTCTAGAAACGCGTCCTGCAGATTGTTCTGAACTGTGGCGGTGAATCCGTGGATTTCTGGGTCGAGGGTCAGAAAAAAAACCACACCCTCCAAAGTGTGGCCATGGCGGTGGCCTTTCTCTTGCCAGAGCCGCTGGCTTCCTTTCGAGCGCTCCCATCCAACCGGCCCAGTGTGCGAGACTTGGGCTCCACGGGCCGTGTGGGCTCCACGGGGCGCTGGGGGCTCCACGGGGCGCTGGGGACGACCGTGGGTGCTTTCCTGTTGGGCGCCCGAAGCAGCTATGCCACGTGCAGGGCTAGCAAGCGCCCCATCAATGCACGTGATGGCAAGACCATTCCACAGAAAGGAAACTGGCTGTTCCCCTCGGTGGATGATGATGAAATCTATGAAGATATAGAAGATGAGCTGCCACCGAAGAAGGCGGTGGAAGATTGCGTGTATTGTTGCTGGGTGATGCCCAAAAAGAAAGCCAGCGGGATCTTCCAATCTTGGTCTGAAGACGAGGCGGCAGATGACGAACAGAAAGATATGTTGACGAACTTGGGGTCGCTCGAGCTGAAGAAGGAATGGACCGTGTGGGCGCTTTGTCAATCCGATGATGAGAAGAAGCCCGGCTTCTACATCGTTCCCCCAGCGGGAGCTGAACCAGATGCCCTCATTGTGGTGGAAGCCAAGGATGAGAACACCAACAATATCCAGCACTTGGGAGTTCGACCCGACAAGATTGGGGAGGAACAAATGCGCCAAGCCTTTCTGGATTGGATCGATTCCTTGAGACCAAAGGTGTGAGACTAAGGATGTCCGGCATCGGTTGGCGAAGAGGTTTCAGTTTCAACTGAGAGAGGGAGAGAGAATGGGCAGACTTCAAAGACTTCAAATATCTGCGACAGTTCGACCATTGACCATCATGGACCCTTTGATTCTAGACATATATAGAAATACTATGGATCCTTGACTCTTTTTTTCTCTCTCTTCATCCCAAAGACGGGGGTGATACGGCATGTTGCTTGTGGCTACCAAAGTCTCCAAGTCCAAGGTGGTGGTCATGAAGAGACCTCCTGAGCTCTATGCTTTTGGCCTGGGCGTTGATGGCGAAGGAGAGTCCAGGCCAGATGGACGGGGCGATGGGCCCAAGGTCAGCAAAGGACTCTGAGAGCGCCCGCTGCCACGGTGCGTCCGGCTCGGCTCTCAGATCTTCGGACGTTGAAAAGAAACAAACTTCATATCAGCTTAGTAACTAGTAACTAGTAACTAGTAGTAATGGCCTCCAAGCTAGTAGCAATGGCCTCCAAGGAGTTGGAAAGGAACCAGATCTTCATGTTCTCTCCATCTTCATGGAAGTCTTCCAGATCTTCAATCCATGCCCTCCCCCGAAATTCGCGGCTTTTTGTTCACCTTCCTGGACTGGAGCATCTTCGCTCTTCGACCGGTCGTTGTTCTGCTGGTCTTTTCGTTGGTGACCCTTTGCCCAGTGTCATTACATCCGAGGCGCCTGATTCATTAGATGGCAAACATATCAGTTGGTCTTGTGAGTGCTGATTCTAACTTGGACATGGAAGGGGGGAAGTCGGGGGAAGTCTCCACGGAATCTGGGAATCAACTACGAATCTCAGGTCTTGTTGCTGTCCCTTTGCCACTCTGATCCGTTGTGAGGTTGGAGTCAAAATGCCCAGTGAGTGCTGCCCCGATGCTGGGCGGGTAATTCACTCGATTTGGCCGGCTCTGCAACTTTTTAAAGGACCGAGTCTTCGAGTCTGCTATAATTGAGTATTGAATACATACTGATATATGATATAACATCTGGAATCAATATGAATCGGCGAAATACTTTGCATGACGCCTGACTTGACTCTTTTGCAGGTGATCATGAACCTTCTAGATGGCCCACCCATACGTCTGCACGTTTTGTTGATTTCGAGCAGGACGGCCCGCCCCGAAATGCAGACCAGCCGAGTTTAGATGCGTAGCAAGGCAAACCGAAAGGATGGATATGAACGCTTGGAGAGACATGGTCACTTGGTGTGCTGCGGCTGTGGTGGGGAGCGTTAGACTATCACATGTAGCAGATGACCCTTCAGCCAGTTGTTTGTTTGCCAAGATTTGCCACCATGATTCTCGATACTGAGGCCTGACAAGGAGGACTGAGCATCCTGCATTTCGCTTGTTGAAAGCAAACCATGCAATCCGGATCATGCACACACGACATTTGGTCGACATAATACGTTTGCCTCGAGATATTTCAAATCGAAATCAATGGCAGGATGCCAACGGACACTTTGTGTTCGGACCCCTGGCAGGATGGGATCTGTCGTCCCCTAACTTTATGATCCCAAACCATCCTATAGGGTCCTAGACTGAAGAGGGCGATGAAGAGAGAGAGAGAGACCGGTTGCCTAGCCGGTCAGGCGTCGATGAGCTCCATGTTCAGACTATGGCATGGAAGGTTTGTTGAATCCCACGGGTGAGAATGAAAGGTGCAAGACAAGTACCCAGCCAAACAGAAAACCACATCCTACAATTGCCTATAATTTTGTGTACTATCGCCCGCAGTCCATGTAGTCTATATATATATGCATATACAGTGTATTTATAGTTATTACTATTACTGCGGGATGTTATAAGAATAGTTTAGTTAAAGCACACACTGGCACCACACACGGTCGCCAGTGTTTTGCTGCACACCACTTGCTTGGCCCTTTGCATCACTGGAGGCTGGAGTTGTTGGACTCCGCAGGCTGCAAGACCGAGGCGAGTGCATGCGAGCACCAGCTCAAGCCGATGAGAGGTGTTGCAGAAAGGGAAGTGCACTAATGCTACGCTGCTGGTGCTATAAGGATGTAATTTGGGTGCTCAGAATCGCTAACGGGAGGTGTTCTACAGGTGGTAACGACATGCAATGACCTGAGTAAGTACCCAAGAGTTACTTTTCAGCTTAAGAGTGTCGCTGAGACCCAGCACACTCTTGATCCGAGAGGCTTGCTAGAGCAATATCCCAATGGGAGTCCCAATGGGTTGTGGAGCCTACCAGGTTACCAGGCCCTACCATGAACATCACTTCAAGACTCCATCGGTATGGTCTATTACATATATATTAATATAAATATATTAACCCTTTTTGTACACACACATGTATATATAATGTCAATAGGGATGGGGTCCCAGTATAGTCGCTATACAGGTACATGCCATATACTTTTGGCTCAAGTGCCCAACCAGGTAAAAAGGAGCTTTAGCGCGCGAGCTTCATGTTGACCTAAGAGCTAGAACGGGGCCAGGGCACACCTTTCCATCCGTTCGCAGGTTATCAGCCGTATCCAGACTCCTTTGAGCTGGGTACGAGCTGCGGCCTTACACAACACCATCTAAACGCACACGCATCGGATAGATCAGTTACCCTCAGTCACTGAAGATGGACCAATCCGACGCCAGCACTGCATCTTTTGGAGCAGCTGCTGCGGCCGCAGATCGGATGAGTGCATCCCACAACTCTAGTCCAGGTACGATCGAGGCGGAGACTCTGACAGCGGTGAGAGAAGACGCGACAGGTAGAACACGAAGTCGTTCCCCGTCAGCGCACTCGACACCACCGGGGGGGACACCGAGATCAGGCCGTAGCCCTAGGGAGACAAGGAGGAGGACTGACACCGGAGCTGTGAGAGTGCTAGCATTGGAGGATGGGTCAGCTGTACCAGTGCCGTCGGACAGCGAAGCTGGAGATGGGGCAAGGGCAAGCACTGACAACCTACAACTAGCACGGGCCGATGGAGACCTGAATGCGAAGTGTGCGCAACTACTTGCCGAAGTGCATATGTTGAACCACCAAAACGCATGGATGGTCGAATGTGAGCAGAGACAGAACCAGATTATACAACACGAGACCGAAGTCCACGAAGTAGTGATGGCACACCTCGAAGAATGTTATGTCGAAGGATATGGAAATCAACGAAGAATCACCCAACTTACAGAGTCCAGAGACTGTTTGCTCTCAGCAGCACACGACCTGCAATATCAGATGGACACTGATCGTGTGGCAATGCGGGATCGTCTCACCCAGTTAGGGGAGTACGCTGATCGCAACAGCGCAGAGATGGTTAGTCAAGTTGTGAACATCGGCACGGAAGAGATCCAGGCTATATCGGCAGAAAGAGATCGAGCCGTAACCGAGGTCATGACTACAATCGCAGATGCTGAGAACGTCAAGGACCTGTGTAGACAGGAGTTGGTTGGACTACAAAGGCAGAGTGCCAGAAACAAACACGAATATGCTGAAGAGATGAAGATGAGGGAAGCGATGTATGCAAGCAAGATCAAATGGTTATCAGAAGAGAATGAGGAGCTCAACAACCGATCTAATACTCAGGACAAGTTCATCTTGAGCATCAGAGAGCAATTGAGGAAGGCGAACGAGGAGTTGACTCAGACGAGGATTCAAAGATCCGATCGACATTTTCAACCATCCAGTGCCGAACTCAAGAAGGCCGAAGTCAAGGTGAACATGTTGGAAGAGGACATTCTACGTAAAGAGAGGATGCTGAAACGTCTTCAGGAAGAATTGATCGAATCAAGCGCAAGTGAAGCACAATTGAAGGTCGCACTGAAGCTGAAACCGCCAGACATGGGATCAGAACCCAGTGTGGAGAGTGAGATGATGACCAAGCTTAGAGCGGAACTTGAACGTACTGAAAAGTCATTAAGGTCCGAGGAGAAAGAGGCAATTGAGTACTACGAAGGTATGATGCAGAACCAACAGGACATGATGGAATTCGAAGCGCATGCATCACGGCTCAGAGATGAGAGAAATAAGTACCGGAAGAGGTACGAAGAGGAGCGCATGAGTGCAGAGAATGCAGCCGCAACCGAACATGGTGCCGCTTCATCCTCCAGCTCAGGTGGCTCCAAGATATCTCGGAAGGAACACGAGAAGATCAACATCCCTGCATGGCCCAAGATACACGACCTGGAGGTTTGGAAATCCCAGGTTGTAGCGGCAGTCGTGACGGCATCGGGCGACGAGAAACAAGAAGATTGGATCCAATGGCTCTCGGATGCCTTCAGATCACCATATGACCCATTTCTACTCGAGACATCAGGCGAAGCAAGATTCGCTAGCATAGACGCTAAGCTAGGTATCACCCTACATACGATCATCCACGCAGCAGGTGAGAGATCTCATGACGTACAACTGAAAGTGAGGCAGATGATGCAGAGACGTGCGAGAGGCACAACTCCTGGGATGGTCAAGGGACGAGAAATGTTAGCGTTGATCGTCGACAGTTTCCGGAGTGCCGACAACGTCGATGTGATGTATGCATCCAAGCATTTATTCGATCTAAAGTTCCCTGGGGATAATCAACTATCCAGATTCCTTGGACAGTGGGATGAGATCATATCAGGTATGGATGCGGATGACATGCTTCCTGACAAAGCACTTCGCAACCTGCTTTGGGATAAGATTAAGGATTCCAAGGTTATGGCGTTAGACTTGTCTGTGTACGACAACATGTTGGATAAGGATCCGGATAAGACCTACCAGAAGTTACGAGAGATCATGGCGAAGTGGATACGGAAATCGATCGAGACCACAAACAAGAAAGAAAGGGAAAAAGCTTTTGGGAACCTCGTGAAAGCCACACCAGCGGCGGAGAAGAAGGACCCTAAAGCGAAACCCAAGAATACCAAGGCCGATCCACCGAAACATGACGCCGCTCCAGTACTTCCTCAGGCTAATCCGAAGGACCACAACAAGAAGGACAAGAAGCAGGATCGGGGAAGATCAACCACGAAGAGCCCAAAAGGGGATCGTGGCAGGTCAGCGACTCCAGCGGATACGTCCAAGATAGGATGCGCCTTCCACTTCCATGGGAAAAACGGATGTTCTAGAGGAGACAAATGCAAGTTTAGTCACCAAGAGAAGCACAAAAGTTCTGCCAAGAAACCAGAAAGCCTCAAGGGTGACAGATCAAAGAGTCCTGGTGGCAGGAGCAGTAGCCCTAAGCCAATGAAGGATCAGGTCTGTTGGAATTGGCAGAAAGGATCGTGCAAGTTCGGGGACAAATGTCGACGTCAGCATCAAGCTGCTCCTGCTACAAAACAGGAGGCTAAAGGCAAAGCCAAGCCCAAACCGGCTGCGCCAGCCTTCATGCTTTGCGGAGACATCGAGAGTGATGACGAGGACGTACAACCCGCACTTCCTAACGTACAACAAGGTGAGCTGGCGCTTCGCTTCAAAGTCAGATTTGATGACCAGGCGAACGTGACCACGTTCACCTGCGATCCTGGTAATGAGCTAAACATCCGTCCCCTCAGGAAGAAGAAGAATGAGGTGCAGAAGGTGGATACCGAGTTCATTTCGTCGTTGAGAGCCCTCAGAGTGAGCAATATAGCTGCACGAGTAGCACATGCCAAAGGTAAGATGATGGAGCTATTCTCTGCTGAACACATTGCCAAGGCATGGATACAAATCACTCAAGATGAAGGAATCGAGGTGAACGTCGACCTGTCTGATTTCAACACCAGCGAGGTAGTAAGGAAGGATTCTGTCAACTACACGATACCAGGAGACACGATGTTCATGGCTGTGGAGAGGTATGATGGACCACCAATACGCTTCATCATGGACACGGGATGTGGACACGATTTGATCTCAAGAGAGAAAGTCAATGCCATGGGCCTTACCACCAAGGAAGGACCCAAATCCGTGAGCTTCATGACAGCGAATGGTGTAACCAGTACATCAGAGATGGTGGACATCAATGTGGACGAACTACCCATGAAGTCCGAGGCACACGTGTTGGAGAGCACACCATCAGTCTTTTCCATCGGGAAACGGTGCATGGAACAAGGGTACTCATTCATATGGCCGGCAAATCAATTGCCATACCTCATCGACCAGAACGCGAACAAGATTCCGCTATCGGTGCATGACAACATACCCTACATCAAGGTGAATGATGATGACGGGAGATGCTTACCAAGACCAGACGGCTTGGCTACGATACTTCATCGCATACTGTCAGGTGTGGGGCATGAAGACGAGGCCACAGCAGGTCAGGAGACACAACAAGAGGAACTTCCGCCCAAGAAACCACGGAGACGGAGGAGAAAGAAGAAAGATAACCAGAGAGATCGGAATGGTGAATCTGATATCAATCCAGCTGTTGCAGGCGTCGAAGGAGAACCAGAGGGACACGGTGATGACTCTCCTGAAGAGGAATATGACGGGGAAGACCCGAGATTCGATCGTGATCACGATGGTCAACCTGAAGAAGCCGGAGACGACGAACATGGAGGTGATGCGGATTCTGAACGAGAGGAGAGTGACATTGGTGAAGATGAAGAGGGACTATTGGAAGTCGATGTGGTTGACGGGGAAGCCAGACTATCAAAACCAGGAGTGCTGAAGAACGAGGCGAAATCCATATTGCACTTGATGACGCACCGATACAAGAACCCATACTGCAAGTCATGTGTGAGAGCAAAGATGAAGCACTACAAGACTAGCAAGGGAGCTTTCAAACGGAAATTGAAGGCATTCGGTGACCTTATCACTTTCGATCTCATGAACACTCAGAAGATGGCGAGAGATGGGATCATGCCGGATAAGGATGTATTGGTGATTCGAGATCGGTTCACTGGTATGATATGGGGCTATCCATTGAAAGCAAGCAATAGTGACGAAGTGGTGCAGGCAATGAAGCACTATATCGGTAAGAGAAAGGTCACCAACGCTTACTCGGATGATGCGCCAC